TTTTGAAGCCGTTTATAGGCAAATTTGTGGTTGTCTATTTGGATAATATTCTGATTTACAGTCATAGTCGCGACAAACATATAGAGCATTTGCAGGAAGTCCTGCAAGTTTTAAGTAGCAGCAAGCTATATATCAACTTAAAGAAGTGTTGTTTTTTGACAAAGAAATTATTATTTTTGGGATTTATTGTAGGGGTTGATGGTATACAGGTGGATGAAGAAAAGGTTCATGCTATCCGAAAATGGCCTACAACGACAATAGTAATTCATGTTCGCAGCTTTCATGGATTAGCGACCTTTTATCGCAGATTCATCAGGAATTTTAGTAGTATTGTGGCTCCTATTACGGAGTGCATGAAGAAGGGAAAATTCCAGTGGGCGCACGAGCAAGAAATAGCCTTTACTATGATCAAGGAGAAGCTGTCCACAGCTCCAGTTTTAGCATTGCCAAATTTTGAGAAGGTGTTCAAGGTCGAGTGTGATGCGTCTGTCATGGGCATAGGTGCTGTTCTTTCTCAAGAGGGCAGACCAGTATAGTTTTACAGTGAAAAGCTTAGTAAGGTGAGACAGAAGTGGACTACATATAAGCTGGAGTTTTATGTTGTGATCCAGGCTTTGAAACACTAGAAGCACTATCTAATTCAGAGGGAGTTCGTGATTTACAGTGATCACCAAGCGCTGAAATTTATTAACACGCAGAATAGCTTAAATCGTATGCATGGCAGGTGGATTACTTTTCTGCAGAAGTTGACCTTCGTGCTGAAACATAAGGGCAGCTGAATAAAATTGCTGATGCGTTGAGTCGTTGGGCAGCATTGTTGATAACCTTGAGTGCTGAAGTTGTTGGTTTTGATTGTCTAAAGGAATTGTATAAGACTGATGAAGATTTTCAGGCAAATTGGGCCAAGTGCAGTTCACGGCAACCTGCAGCAGATTTTCATTTTCAGGATGGTTATTTGTTTTGTGGCAATCAGCTTTGCATCCTGAGGTCATCATTGCGAGAACAAATCATTCGCGAGCTGCATGGTAGCAGTTTGGGCGGACATTTGGGCCGAGATAAAACAGTTGCGCTAGCAGAAGAGCGTTACTATTGGCCATAATTGAAACGCGATGTTGGCAAGTTTGTGCAAAGGTGTCCAGTATGCCAAACAGCTAAGGGCCAGACACAGAATACTGGGCCATATACTCCACTTCCTGTGGTAGAAAACATTTGGGAGGACTTAACAATGAATTTTGTATTAGGGCTTCCTCGAACTCAGTGACGCATGGATTCTGTTTTTGTGGTTGTTGACAGGTTTTCAAAGATGGCGCACTTTATTCCATGTCGAAAAATCGGGGCAGCTGAATAAAGTTGCTAATGCGTTGAGTCGTGGGGCAACATTGTTGATAACCTTGAGTGATGAAGTTGTTGGTTTTGATTGTCTAAAGGAATTGTACGAGACTGATGAAGATTTTCAGGCAAATTGGGCCAAGTGCAGTTCACAGCAACCTACAGCAGATTTTCTTATTCAGGATGGTTATTTGTTTTGTGGCAATCAGCTTTGTATCTCGAGGTCATCATTGCAAGAACAAATCATTCGCGAGCTGCATGGTAGCGGTTTGGGTGGACATTTGGGCCGAGATAAAACAGTTGCGCTAGCAGAAGAGCGTTACTATTGGCCACAATTGAAAAGCGATGTTGGCAAGTTTGTGCAAAGGTGTCCAGTATGCCAAACAGCTAAGGGCCAGACGCAGAATACTGGGCCATATACACTACTTCCTGTGGTAGAAAACATTTGGGAGGAGCTTCCTCGAACTCAGAGAGGTATGGATTCTATTTTCGTGGTTGTTGATAGGTTTTCAAAGATGGCGCACTTTATTCCTTGTCGAAAAACCTCGGATGCCACCCACGTGGCTAATCTGTTCTTTCGAGAAATTGTGCGTATACATGGAGTCCCGAAGTCTCTTACTTCAGATTGTGATGTCAAGTTCCTTAGTCATTTTTAGAGGACTTTGTGGAAGAAATTTGATACCTCCCTAAAATACAGTAGCACTAGTCATCCGCAGACAGATGGTCAGACAGAAGTAGTGAAAAGAACACTGGGAAACATGATTCGGTGTATTTTAGGTGATAAGCCAAAGCAGTGGGATTCTGCTCTTCCTCAAATTGAGTTTGCTTTCAACAGCATGATCAACAGGTCCACTGGAAAGATGCCGTTTGAGATTGTTTATACTAAAGCACCGAAGCATGCCCTAGATTTGGTCTCATTGCCCGAACTTCCAGGAGTAAGCATTGTAGCTAAAAAACATAGCTGAAAGGGTCCAAAAAATTCAAGCTGAAGTAAAACAAATTTTGGAACAGTCCGGCTGTTGCAGACAAGCATAGACGAGTCAAGGTGTTCAAAGAGGGTGATCTTGTGATGGTGTATTTGCACAAGGGCAGATTTCCAACCGGAACTTATAGCAAGCTCATGAACAGAAAATATGGGCCATGTCGCATCAAAAGGAGATTAATGATAATGCATATGTGGTGGAGCTTCCAGATCATATGTCCATCTCTAATACCTTTAATGTGGCAGACTTATTTGAGTATCATCCTCCTAATAAGTCACTTTATCCAGAGTTGAACTCGAGGGCGAATTCTTTTCAAGTGCAGGAGACTGATGCAGTACAATTAGCTGAAGATTTTGGAACTCATTTGGACCGTCAAAAGGTCAAACGGGCTGGCTGATTAGTTTTTTATCGAATAATTTCGAGAAATCCGTTTTTAACTCGAAAAGAGCCCAGTTTTATCAGAAACGGCCCAACTCGCCTTTTGGCCGAATTCAATCGTTTAGGGCTCGGGAATGGCGTCTTCCCAATTTTGAATATTTCGGGATTTTTGTTAGAAGACTAAACGGATTCAATTTGCTTTCTTTTTTGGTATTTAGTAGTTTTTAGTAATTAGGTCTCTTTCCTTATTTTTACAGACTATTTAGAGCAAGCTTGTTTTTGAACAATTTCCTTGCGCTGCTAGTTTCCTTGCGTTTTTAGGATTTCCTTTATGCTGTTAGGATTTTTATTTATAAATACATGTATTGCAGAGCAGATCATTCATTCAATTATTAATATATTATCAGATTCCTTTGTGAATTCTTTTTTCTTCCTTGTGGATTCAAGGTACCCTCGTTCCTTTGTGAACAATCTATTACGTCAGCTATGCTTGTAGCAAGGCTTATATTGTGGCTCGTGAAGTTGCAAAGCTTATGGGAGCTTATGAAGATACTGACAAAATTTTACATTGTATCTCTTCGGATGTTCAAAGTGTAGCAAATAAAGATTGTAATTCGTGTTCATCTTTGCTTAGCTGTATGATCCACCAATCATTCTCTTACTAAGTGTTGTTTCTTTACAGATTCCATTAGTAATATCAATATGTGTACATGTTCCTCCTTCCTTTTCTTAATATCCATAAAATCATCTATGTAATCAGTGTCATATAATTTTTCCTCTCACTCAGTATATTTTTCCACAAATAATTACACCATACTAGGTAAAGCAACATGAAGCAGAAGATCCTGGAAGACTATACTCCCAAGACATTTTATGTTTTAACCAAGAATAGTCTCTACCTAGGAAGCACGGACACTTCTCCTAGGGGTGTCGTGGCTGTATCGGACATGCAAACACACGAGGGACACACCCGAACACATGTCAGAGTGAGACACAGCTAGAGGTGTCTTGAAAATTGAATATTTTATCTTCTGGTTGGACATGACAAGATACGTTTGGAACACGTTCAGTTCACAACAGGGCAGTTTTTTAATTATTTTTCTTAGAAGAATGGGATTCAATGCAATTTAAGATATGTAATGGGTTAATTAAAAAATTAATATAAATCTTTTGAAAACAAAAATAACAAACATCTAACTCTAAGCTCAAAATTAGTGATTTTATTCATAATTATATAGATAAAATGGGAAGAAAAAAAACATTATTTTTCATATGTAATAATATATTACATTAATTTTTTTATGTATCCTTGCTATATCCGTGTCCTATTTTTTTGAGATTTGCCATATCACTCTATCCGTGTCCCTATCCATGCTTCCTAGGTCCCTACCCAAGGTCCTACAATCATTAATTTCATCCATTTTTGAATAACGTGCCAAAAAACTCTTTAACGTGAAATGGGATTTTCAATTTCATGTCCCTCATAAAGAATCCTTGTAATTATTCTTGCCATTTGTTGCACCAGAGTAATTGATTACTCACCACACACATGCTTTGCTTCACTTGCTATCGCGTTAGCATTCTTTCTGAGGCTTGAACTCCTGACCTCCCTTATCCATTCACTACAAAATCTTCTTTTAAGCCCATAATGAAAGGTAGAACAAATGTCTATGAATAAGCTTCAATGCTTCCGCTATAGCATTGCATTCCATTGTTGATCTTGCATACTCCAACCTCTTCTAGTCCCACAATACCTAGTTTTAGTGTTTTAATCTCCTTTCAAGATGGTTTCCCTAGGTCCTTCAAACTTATTCACTAATTCAGCATGCACTAGAAGAGAGGAGGGGGCCAAGGGTTCAGTTCATCAATCAAAAGTTCAATCACTAATTTCACTTTTTAGTACATATGATCCGAACATACATGTTCAATCCGTTAGAGAATTGTAAGTCATATTATCGTAAGATATTTTGACGCCCTTATCCTGTTTACGTTTCCCTTTGCCAACTTCTCATGTTAACAATGAATTCTAGAGCTAAATATCAAGTGAAGTCAACTTATCCAAGATTGGCAACACAGATATGCCAACAGACATCAAGTTCTGCTCTATTAAACTAACGTAGCCATTCACAGTAAATAACTAATTCTGTTACTAATTGTTGGCAATGTGAACTGTTATTGAACACTGAAGTCATAATAAAGGAACTAACTTCTTCCAAACTCAAATTATCACAAATGGAGCCAATATCTAGATATAATAAAGACAAATAAATTAATGTTTCATATCCTTTGGACTTAAAATTTTATAGTTACCTCATCCTCCTGCAACTGATCATTGATTCTCAGCTGCTCCTCTGACAACTCCGGTTCTTCTGCACCCAACTGCAACTCTTCTAACCTACTCGCAATATTATCAACATCTTTCTTTGAATCAGACCCCTCAATTGTTTCCCCATCCAATTCATTCTTTGATCCCGAAACATGCCGGTCCCTTCCCTTCTCATCTTCTTCTTTATGTTCTTCATCTTCTTTGTGAGAACTCGAAGAACCCAATTCAGTTGTCTCTCCATTTGGATCAATCTTCAAGGCTAATAAATTCCCATCTCTATCTTTCTCTTCTATGCTAGAATTCGAATAACCCACTTCAGATTTCTCGACAAACCGAGGTTTGACCACACGGGCACGCCGATTCCGCGATACCCACTTGGAGTTTCGGCGATTCGGAGCTGATTTTGGGGTTTCGGTGGCGAATTCTGATACGGGTACGGTTTTCAGGGTTTCGACGTTGTTGTGATGAGAAGTGGAAGTCGGTGACGATGGGGTTGCGAGGTTAGGTTGTTCGGTTGTGATGAGTGTTTCTTCGGTTTGATCGTGAAAAGACTTAACTATCCACCCTTCATCGATATGGTGAGATTGTCTTGCAGGTTTGCCTCTGCCTCTGCTTCTTCTCATGACTGATAGATGTGTAGAGAGATAGATGTGTAGAGAGAGAAACGATGCAGAAAATTGGATGTTAGAGAGGGAAGCTCGGGCTTCTTGTCAAAGGTGCCGTAGGATCAATGGTTCCAAGTTTTTGAGAGAGTCGGTTATTGTGTGGGAAAATAATGCACTTATTAGTCATTCTTACACTTTAAGGGCATGTTTGGTGTGGTGAAATGAATTAGAATGGAGATGAGAGTGGAATGATGATTCACAGAAGTTGCAAATATAAAATGTGTAAAAATGAAATACTTATTCTCATTGGTAGGAAAGTTGGAATGGAATGAATTTATGTTTGTTTCTTTAAATTACATTTTATTATTAAAACAAATTTAACTAAAAAAATTAACATCTGCAAAAATAAAAAAAGGAGATGAGATAATAGAGAGAGAAAATAGACGAGATTGTGAAAATATACGAGATAAAAGAAACAAAGGGGCAAGAAGCGGCAATGGAGAGAAGTAGGTGATCGAACTGAGGGGAGGCGTTGTCGCCGGAGAATCTATATCCGGCGGTGGTGTTTCTATGTATCTGGCAGTGGTGTTTCTAATTGAGACCACCGATCACACAGCAACAAATCACAGACGAAGGTCCAATGTACTAAGACGAACACAACGATACAAGGAACAGTCCCATACGACGCTACACATGCTAACACACACCACCTGAAGTTCTGTATGTAGATCTCACTTGCTCGACGAATTTTCCGATCATCTTCTCCGACGACTTCATAGTCGCCGCCGTTTCAGTCCACTTTATCATTGAATCAAACCTTTTTCTTGCTCGTCGGGGCCGGCTTTGCTTCTTTCTTCCTTGTTGGTCGCCGGTGTGTTTACAAGATTGATGTGGGTTTGTAATTTAGGAATCAACTTTATTTTTAATTTTTTTTGAGTCCGTATTTTTTGAAAGTGGCAATGAAATGGTCATTCCTTTTGTTTGAAGGTGGAATGATTTGAATGGAATGACCATTCTCCAAGAATAGTGGGGAATGATAATTCAACTTTAAAATTACGCATCAAACACGAGAATGAAAAAAAAATAAATAAATACTATTCCATTCCACTTTCTTTTATTCCATTCCACTACACCAAACTAGCCCTAAAATCCTCAATTAATATGTTATTTAACTCATTTAATTTGGATAAATTACTCTAATCTCCTTTGAGATTTGTCCAAATTACAAATAGTTGAAACTAGTTGAAAAATAAAAACTATACATAGGTAGACTTAAGAGTTTTAAATAACAAAATGTTTTATTTTAAAATTTTATTTTTTATTTGGATTGAATTAAACAAAATAATTATAAATGCATTAAGAATTATTGTTTCGGTCCAAAATGCCCTTCAAAATAAGAGTTTAGATTCATTAGCACATTAACTTTTTATGTGAAAGTACGGCATTGCCCTCATTTTTATATAAAAAAATTTGCTAGCCTCACTATAATAATAAAAAATATACAAAATTACATTTTTATCCTTGCAATCCTAAAAAGTTTAAATTAACCTAATCTTTCTTGCCTTTAACAGTTTTACCTAAGGATGACAAAACACCCAACCTCATAGGATACCCGCCCCGCCTTGCCTTATTTAGCACAATGTTAGGGGTAGTTAAATAGTTTTGAGACGTGGATGAGGGTAAGGATTGAAAACCACACGGCTACAGGGATGGACTAGGAAATTCATTCTGCCTCGCCCCACCCTATTTACATTAATAAATTGAAAATGTGTCCTTATAATTTATTTTATATTTAAAAATATTAGGTATGTATTAAGCAAACCTAGGTTAGCCTAATCCAATCACTAGATATCACTTTGTATTATTTTTATTTGAGAATCTCTATGTATTATTTTGATGTTCTTATAATAATATTAAATCTCAAGTTTCAATTGAGAATTTGAATCTTTTTTCTTATCCTCATAAGAGAAAATGAATTATTAATATGATTGAAAAATGTTTCATTATTTACCCTCATGTAATACAATTACAAAAGTATTCTCCTAAACTCATTCATGCCCCGCCTCATTTAATAAACTATTTTATGTGGGGGATAAGGGTAGCTCAAAAAGGGGGACGAGAATGGGGTTGGGTCCCCCACCATGAACCTCCCTATTGTCACCCCTAGTTCGACCCCTCTCTATATATCTAAACCGATCATTGACACCATTTCAACGCCATGTTCTCTAACATCCACCATTCTGATAACCTGAAACGAAATTGAGAACCTGGTACCTGTTTGCCCCTAGCTTAAAGTCGGCTATTAGGTAAGCTTTGGTGTATAAGAGTCCATGGGTTGAGGCACACATATCCATTACCATTATCCGACCAAATCTAGTCAGAAAAACTTCATTCACATCATCAGTGTAACTAAAGCGTGAAACCACACTGAGCCAAGTGTTAAAAAATACAAACATATTTAGGGCAAATTCCACTTACCTCCTTGAGGTATGTCAATATCCCATAAGACCTCTATGCTTCATAATCCTACTTACCTCCCTTGTCAGTGATGATCGTCCAACTTGGTAATAGCAGTGTGTTATTTTACCATTTTCCCCCTGGATGTTTGTTGTCATTTCAGCTATTGTAAGGGCAAAACTGACCTTCTATCAAATTTCTACTGCTGAAATTAACTATTTTGTTTGTCTTTGTCAAGTGTCTAACGGCGGGGGAATTTGTTACATAAATCAGAACCTCATGAGAGGTAAGTAAGATTATGAAATGTAGAGGGAAGCCTATGTGAGATATTGACAAACTTCATGGAGAGAAGTGTTGGAATTTACCCAAATATTTATCTGACAATAAATTTTAAAGAGATATAGAGAAATAGAGGAGCCTTTGAACCAACAAGAGAGAGAGAGTGAGAGAGAAGAATTGAGATTTAATAAAAGTTATAGATTCATACACCTTATTATGATCCTATCCTCCTGAAAGCTATGACTTTTGTACTCTTATTTTGGGTTGTGCTGATTGTGGTAGATTTATTGAAGGAAAAAGAAGCAACACCACTACACCAACATTGAGGTTATCAATTGATACAATTTGGGTGGAAAAAAAATTAGTAATTAGATTTTTTTTTTTTTTTTTTAATAAATAGTATTAGATTAAAATGGGAATGCTTATTTGAAACTTGTTATGGAACTTTATTTCCGTTAAATTTTCCACATTAATGGTGAACGAGAGAGAAAAGTTAGGATTCTTCGGAGATCGAGAGAGAATATTGAGGATAAAGAGATTAAAAAAAAAAAAATCTAACAAAATTTCAAGAAGAGGTCAGCTTAACGTTAACTTGTTGAAAGAACTTAATTTCATTAAAGTTCCAGATCCTTAGGCAATGATTGCGAACGAGACTAAATAATTTAGGTTTCTTCAGAGAACAAGAGACAAGATTAAGGGAGATAATAGAGAAGAACGAAATTTTAGGAATAGGTCATATTAACATTTGGTTTAATAATGTTTGGTTCGTGTTTGGTTATTAACGGACTAGATGATGTAACCTTTTTGTAATTCTCATATCTAACTCTAGGGAATGCATCAGAGAGATCTATCTGTAGAGGATCCAAATCCATCACATCTGATGAAGCAACTTTCATCTACGATCCGCAATGATGTTGTATCTGCATGAAAATAAAGAGTAGATGCACCAGTGTGGTACCGGCTGGAGAGTCTCCAACAATCAAGTTAGTACCAGACCGTAAAAAGGGAGAATAAAAGACTAAGTGTACTCTAATCTTTTTTTTTTCTTTTTTTTTTGTCGTACCTCTTAACTTCTTCGGCCTTTTATTTATAGAGGACGTATTGGTAGCCGTGTTGGAATCAATGACTGGCTTTCTTTTACTTCTTCAACATGTAGAGGGAGATCATTAATTATCCTTTCCGACTAATTTCATTGTCTATTCAAATCTCTTCGGTTGCCACGTAGTATGCACTTCTATCTGAATTAATATTCCATATCAGTTGTCCCCCATTCCCAAACTTGTTAATAACGCGCGGAATGTAGGATACCATTGCTATCAAGTTTCCTGTAAAATCAACTAATGTATAACATGAAACTAATAATATTGCACTGTTGCTAAAACACAAATTTCTTATGTAGCTTCTTTTTTATTTTTTATTATTTTTCTAAAGCAGTGGAACTGAAATGCTAAATTGAATTCAAGCAACACAGTACAGCATCAACAATGAAATATTATACATGGAATTGCCGGAATGAACAGTCAAGCTCTTTTTTTGATGTGCCCTAATCAAAGCCCATGACTTAATAAATTGAATGAAGCTTGTGATGATAATACTAATGGCACAACTTTAGAGCAGCTCCCTGCTTGCTCCAATGGACTATGGGAAAAGTGGGCCACCAATTTTTGATCGCCAAGTGCCAAAAAGGGCCATTGTGAAGGTGTTTGTGGCTCACTTTTTGTGGGCCCATTTTTGTTTTCTTTTAATATTTTAATTCAGGCCCAGAACATTGTATCGGCCCAGAACATTGTTCCTAGGGCCATGTTTGGTTGAAATAAAAGCTAAAATTCAGATTTTTGACTTATTTTGGTCTCTCTTTTTTTCCTTTTTTTTTTTCCTCAAAATAATTGAACCAAATAGCCATTAAGGCACTGTTTGGCTGACACAAACAGTGCCATAAAGGCTTTTTTGGGCCAAAAAAAAAAGTTTCCTTGAAAAAAAGTGATTTTTTTTCCTTGTCAAATTTTTCAATGTTCCTATTGACATTATAGCCATTTTAGGTACTATTACGCTGACTCAAATAGTGCCTTAACGGCTATATTGGCTCACCTAACAATTTTTTTTTTATTTGATTGCCCTAACAAATTAAAATTTATTTTAAAATATGATTTTTTTATTTTAAAAAAATGTCTTTGTTTTCACTATAAATTAATAAATCAAATGATATTAGATGTTGTATTGTTTACAGGATTTCATACATATTGGCTAAATAATTTAATCAACAAATAATTTAATTATTTATTTCAAAATAAAACATTACACAATAAATATTTTATTACATAAACTTCATAACAATTTAAAAATAAAATAATGCAACATAAATTAAAGACGTTCTTCACCAAAGTGGTTCCACAAATTTTCAATTAAATCTTTCCTCAACCGCGT